TTTAGTCAAACAACAATAACCCCAATAATACGTTACGTCGACTTGACCATGTGCTCCTTTAGACTTTCGATGCAAAACGGCAATCATTTTATGCGTTTGCATCAATTATCAAATCTAATTGGTTAAATTTTTTTTTTTTGACTCCTCTATTGTAGCAAAAAATTATTTTTAGTTTTTATACTGAAAAAATCTTTTTTATTTATTCTTAAGATTTGAAATCTGATCCCTTTTTAATCCTTTTGTTAAATTTGATTAACGTGACAAGTTAATTAATGAAAATTTTTTTTTCTTTACTTAAATTATGTGAAAAATTCATTTAGTAAAAATTGATGACATAGCTAAATTTTTAGTTTAATATAACATTAAAAATCATTTAATTACATAATTGTTATTACAAACATTTTTAAAGTTATTTTGTGATGACTTTAATTACTAATTTACCCTTATCTTCTTCTCCCTTCTATCTTGTCCTCTCTTTTCTCTAGCCTTGAAAATCAAATCTAGAAAGGGAACCTAGGTGCCAGGTTCTTTGTGAACCCAGTGCTTGGGTTCCTCATGTTCATCGAGCTCTTTGTGAACCTAGCGCCTGGGTTCCTCATGTTCATCGAGCTCTTCGTGAACCCAAGTGCTTGGGTTCCTCGCATGTTGCCTGTTGCTATTGTCGAGTTTGTCACGAACCTAGGTCCTTGGATTCCTCGCGTGTTGCTATTAGTATTTTTTTTTTAGATATTTGATTACGTGAAATTATCTATGAAACTCATATTTGTGTTACTGTGTTATCATCATTTTTTTGTTTAGATATTTGATTATGTGAAATTGTTGATTTGATATTTGTTTTTTCTTGATTTAAGATGTGTGCATGGGAAAAATTGAACGGTGAATAAGGATGGTTAAGGTTAATTTTGAATTTTAGTTTTTATAAATTATATGTTATGTTTAATGTCTATATGTGATGTGATGTCATTATTTTTTATTTTTATATTTTCCATGTCATTTATACAAAGAAAATAAATTACACAATTTTGTTAAATTAACCTATCACATTAGTCAAAATTTAACAAGAGACTAAAAAAGAGTCAAATTTTAAACTTTAAGGATTAAAAAAGAGATTTTTTCAACATAAGGACTAAAAAGGGGTTTTTTTTATAGTAGAGGGACCAAAAAAGACATTTAACCAATCTAATTAATCACAAATATCAAACGGATGCGCTTTGCCGTTAACAAAAGCTTACCCGCCAAGTTCACGTGGCAACATCCAATTGATCTCCTTCCAAAGCTGTTGACGTGGCAGAAGGCACAAAGAAGCAATATAAAAAGTAGTCCTACCCGCAGAGAACCCACCCACTTTAATATTTCATTTCGTGGATTTTTTATTCTTTTTTTATTGAAAAGTGAAAACCATACAAAAAAAACCAACAAATTTGTCTAGGTTTGTATCCATTAACCTTACAAGGAATTGATGATAAGCGTTGCTTTTTATAAGTATTATAATGTCAAATATTATTACAAATTTATAATTATAGTGTATTAAACTATTTATTTATAATAGTATATATATAAGAAAAATTTAAACTTTCTAACATTAAAAATATTAAAATATTTAGTAATAATTACATGATGAATTTGAGAAAGTTACGATCCATACTATACTTTATATATTTAGAAAGTTACGATCCATACTATACTCTACATATTTAATAGTTGTAATTGAATATTTTGATATTTTTAATAGCATGATGTCTTGATTTTCCTTTTTCTCTTATATATATTTATTTAATAATATATTATAATTTTAAAATTACAATTTTATGATGTTAATACTTTTTTTTTATCTTAAAATACCTCAAATTGCAAAATTAGAACCATTATTTAAGGAGGCACTGCTTCTACATTTAAAAGGATTAACATATAGCGAGAGGTCTTAATTATAGTATTATACTCTATATATGTGGCATGACTTAATTGTAAATAATAAAAAAGTATGGATTGCATATTTAATAATTAAAAAGTAATGAACTCTATAATATTAAAGTAATTTCATTTAATTATTAATTATAAAATTTATAATTCACGTGTATTTTTTTTTTTTACACATCTGATTATGAGTTGTACAAAAGGGAATAGCCCTCTCATACTCCCAAATCCTTTTTCACTGGATTTAAAGTTTGAACTTAAGATCTTCAACTTAAAATTCAACTTAAAATCTCAAACTCTTAACCGTTAAGTTACCCAATTGGAATTATAATTTACATGTAATAACCGGTAAGACAACAACTTTAAAAAAACTAATAGTCTATTAGTTCGAATAAAATGAATTCGATTTCTTTTAAGTAAGATTTCAAATTTAAGAGTTCTTTTCTTTATGAAGTCCAAAATGACTCGACTCAGTATTAATCGAGATTCAATATAACTATCGGATACAAAAAATTAATAAAATGATAATAATAACTTCAAAAAAGAATCGCCTACTCATTGGTCATTGCTTCAATGGATTTCATTTTTTTTAAAAAGAAAATATCCTTTTTTCTCTCTCTCTAGATAGAACACCCCCATAATTTCCGTTAATTCCCATCTTGTCGCCACCTTCAGATCACACCGTTTCACCCATCCGTTGCGAAACAGCGTAACTAAACTCCCCGCGAAAAAAAAAAAAATCATAATTATAGTACTAAAAATGAATTTAAATGTACTTAATTATGTCTTTATGAAAAACGAGTTTATTATTTTTATTATTTTTTTTCTAAATTTTGTATTTCCACAATCTCCCTATTGTCCTTGTGCATGCCTTTGTATTTCTGTTTTTATCCACCGTAGCTAACTTCGCGTTCCATGGCCAAGCCCAAAGCTCCGAGGAGAACTCTCGACTCCTACACAGTCAAACACATCAACAAAGCGATTAAACGTAAGCCAAATTCAACAATTGAATCGCAAATTTTTCTCTTTTAAGATTGAAAAAAAGGTTTGATTTAGGGAGGTGTTTTGGTTGATGATTTTGCAGCGGAAGACTGCGTGCTGATGCGGCCGTCGGATCCGGGGAAACCATCGTACGTGGCGAAAATTGAGAGGATCGAGGCGGACGTCCGTGGTGCCAACGTTAAGGTCCATGTACGGTGGTACTACCGGCCGGAGGAGTCTATCGGAGGGAGAAGGCAATTTCACGGATCTAAGGAGGTGTTCTTGTCGGATCATTATGATGTGCAAAGTGCGGATACGATCGAAGCGAAGTGTACTGTGCACAGCTTCAAGAGCTATACCAAGTTGGATGCAGTTGGAAATGAAGATTTCTTCTGTCGATTTGAGTACAACTCTACCACCGGCGGTTTCAATCCCGATCGCGTCGCCGTGTACGTTCTGATTAAGATATAATTTTTAATTCTAATTTGATGTTATGTTATTTTGTTTGGGATTATAGAAATTTTCTTTTTTTTTTCCTTTTTGAACTTTTTGATTACTTTACTATCGATGGATATCACTTTAGTAGTTCAGTGTAAATCTCGGGGTGATCCAAGTAAATTGCACATGGAAAATGCCAAAGCCGTAATTTTGTACTAGTTGAGGCCAAATACCTGGTTAATTCCTTTTTGTTAGTCCTGTCTGTGCTTAGAGTTTGCTGAATAATTTTCTCAATTTTTTGGAGTGCACTTGGACTTTAAATATATATATATGTAATTTTTTTTAATTCTTGTCTGATTGGTTTGTTGATATCTTTCAAATACTAGCTGCTTTTGTTTGTTTATTGCTTGATTGAGGTGTTGGTTTAATGATGGAATTTGCAATGTGGTTGTTAAATAGCAATATGTTTAATATAACAAAAAAGAAGTAGAATTTAGGTTTTGCTTTCAATGTTTTGATTAATTTAGTTAATTGGGCTTCTGATGACACATTGAAAGGGTCGACTTTATTTGTTTTTTGATGTATTATTTGGTTTCTCGGGTTTAAGTGATAGATTAAATTCGCATTTATAATTGCAGTGTGAGTTTGAGCTTGAATTACGTTGGTTTGATTGATCAGGATAACCAACTCAAGGCACTTTTTTTTGGGGGGGTTAAATCTGTGATTTTTACACTTCTGAATAGAGCAATCAACTTATGTTCACAGGCAAAACTTAGGATTTTACTTATCTTTTTAGAATGTTTATTTAACCTGTTCATGTTTGTTATGGTTTACTGGGCAGGTATTGCAAGTGTGAGATGCCTTACAACCCTGATGACCTAATGGTTCAGTGTGAAGGCTGCACTGATTGGTAAGTTGGATGCTTTTTGAAGATATTCACTTCCCTTTGGCAGTTTAACCTCTGTGGCTCTTTTCTGTATGTTACATGTCAGGTATGGTAAATGGTGGATGATTATTTTTATGAGGGTGTTTGAATTGTCCCAGATGAGTTCTCTGTGGGTGTTTCTGTTACAAGTAGGTTTGCAATTTCTTTTGAAGCAATCTTTTTTCACACACTTCATTCAACAATACTAAATTAATTTAATAGATTGGTTTGCAAAAAAGGTGAAGAGAGGTGGGTTGGCTTGGAGGAAGGGGAATGAGGCCAGGCAAGGACTCCTTTGAGCTCCTGAACGATAGGCTTGCTTTTTTTTTATTGAAAGTTAAGATCCAGGAACTTCTTGAGTAGTGCAAGTATTCTTAAGGAATTTTTCCAAACCCAAATATATTATAATTTACTTTTGTGTTTAATTTTTGGATGACATATGGGATGGTTTTTCCTTCTCATGAGATATTCAGAAACAATTAAGTGGCTCTCTTTTCTTTTTGGTGCTTGACCAAGCAGCCGGTTCGTATATAAAAAGTCTGGGGATGGCACACTGAGGTTTTATACATATGATTGTGGCAGGTAATGTGGGGCATGCACATCAGAAGTATTATGAGCTTGAGTTTTCAATGCCCCACTTATAAAAGAACAAATCTATTAGCATGGATTAACATTTCAGATCTGCTGTATGAAAGGCATGCATTAAGTAAATAGGGTTTTGCTAGATCTTTGGTATTCATATCTTCTAAGGTTGATGCTTGAGACCATTTTATTGATCCCTGTTAAGATATCAAGAAAAGAAGTTTGAGAATCTTTTGGAGGTTCAGGGGCCATTATAGATATTATTTTCATTTATACCATTTTACTTTGTTCTTTCTTTCACCATAGAGATTATATTAATCAGATACATGTAGAGCATGCTCTTAAAACTGGTGCAGTATTCAGCAAACTACTTTTGATCCAGGTTTCATCCTGCTTGTATAGAAATGACCACTGAGGATGCCAAAAAACTTGAACACTTCTTCTGTGGAAGTTGTTCGTCTGAAAGTCAGAAGTTGCAGAACTCCCTCAGTGCTTCCAGACACCCAGATACAAAGGTACTTTCATTTCCTGGAATTTGTTCTGTTTTGACAGTATTCATATGTAAGTCATTACAGCAGTTAAGAATAAGATACTTCCAGATTTAAGTTAACTTGCATGCCCAATGGAAATTAGATTTTATTGTTTGTGATTTATATTTTATCCATCTGTTTAGTACAAGTGTAGGATGCCTTTGTATTATTCATTGATTTGTGATTGCTTGGGCTTCAACAGGAAGATGGGAAAAATTATAATTCTTTATAATTATATATCAGTTCGTGGTGCATTGATGAATAACAGGAATGTGCACTATAAAAATGAGCTTCTTATCAGAGCGGGAACAATCTTCAAAAGTGGTTTGACTATCATTCTCAGTACATGGTCTCATTTTTGCACTTCATTCCACTTGTTGTTCATTGGATGGATGGACATTTATAATGCATGCTCCTACAGTGAGTAATTGGGTTCATCCCATGACGTGCTTTATATGTTTCCAAGCTTTAAATTTCTGAATTGGAAAGATTTCAGAGTTATAAGGCGCTCTTTCATGTCTAGAGATGTTCTTTATGGAATCATGGCATAGTTTTGTGGAACGGTGACCCTGTGAGAGAGATTTAGTTATCTGCATACTAGGGAGTTGCCCTAGGGGCTAGGTTAATGGTTTTAGCTTAATTATATGGTTAAGCTTCTTCATTGAACTGCCTTACTGATATTACCTATAAAATTTCCCTTTTAGGTCTGTATGTTGTTTGTGACCATATGACATTAACGTATGTGATGGTGGTGTATCAGGTTGACACGAAGCGGCGTCGGAGGTGACAGCACATTGAAGTAGAATCGTAATCGAGAAACTGGTGGTTCTTCTGTCTTCAATTCACAAATTGTACAGATTGTGATGCATATATCTGTGTCTCCCTATTGTACTAATGGTTGACAGTAACTGGCCTTGAAACCTATCATGTTTGTATAGTTTGGGGGTCTCAGTTATCCAGTTAGCCGACTAAGGTCGAGGATGTGTTTAGTCTGTCTTTAATCATGTAATGTAGGTTCTGTCCATCATTAGATATGATAAATTAGGTTGTGTATAATCAGACTCATTTTAACTTACGATTTTATGAAAGAGCAATAGATACCTGGGTCTTCAAGGATGCATCCACTATACATATTTGTTAGCATGTAGCGTTATTGATGGCTGCTTTGGAGGTATTTAATATTTGTATCTACCATATTGATGGAGAGACAAATAACCATCCCAATAATGTCTTTGTCTGGACAGAGAGAAAGGAAAACAAAGAAAAAGAAAAGGATGCTGGTTTCCTTTGTTCTTTTATAAAAATCATGTGCAGTTTGGACTGACTGTAAAGTGAGAAGTTAGAGAACTAAGTAAATGACAAACTGAAATTTAGGGAGTATCTAGGATTAAGAGCAGTCCATGAAGATAATGGTTGACAAATTGGAGCATTTGAGGGCGGCAAGGCAGAAGGCTATAAAATGGAAAAAAATTTCCGTTGCCGGGACTTGAACCCGGGTCTCTCGGGTGAGAGCCGAGTATCCTAACCAACTAGACTACAACGGATTTGTTGAAGAATAAGAACAATTTCTCTAATAATTCCTTCTTTGCGCTCTTCACATTCAATTTTTTTCTTTGGTTTTTTTATATTCTCCGTGTGAAAAAAGTGATATGCAATTTAAATTATATTAAATTGTACAATCATAACCATTAAATGAGGGTAATATTCTTAATATTGAAGGTTTCACTTTTCATTCAATAACTTCTGTTTTACAGTCTAATGTAATCTAAACTATTTTACAATATAATGTAATCTAAATTATAAAATAAAGTATTCTTTCTTGTATTTAGGGGTATGCAATTGCATGAAGAAACCTCCTTCGTTCTTTTTACATTCCATAGCATGTTTCGAGCCTTGGATCACTTAAAGTTGTTGAAAGTCTTTCCATTTGTTTTTAGAATTGGTAACTGCCAACTCTTGTCATGTTGGTGCTGTTACGGGAGCAACTCTGACTAAAGTCTCTGAAGAAACCTCTGTAAATTCAATTACTTTTTCATTGACTTCTTAAGGAATTAAGCTTTAGTTAACAAGATAAAAAGCAAACTTTTTTTTGCCAATTAAGTCACAATCCATTGAGTAGAAATGGTCTTTTTCTTCTGGTAGTAGAGAGATTGAATTTTACTTCTTCTAATTCGGCCAAAAGAAGCTACTTTTTGCCTTATGACCATATGAGGCAATGTATTTGCCAGCATCGCTCAAAATACCTCTCTGAAAATTTTGACCACTTTTGACCATTTTATCCTTGTAAAGTTCAAGTGTATTTTACTTCATAGATGCCACCAGAGCATTGTTAGAACTAAGAATTGTTTGAAATAGGAGCACAGCTAAAGCTATTTGCCTGGATCCTAGTGTCGGTAATTTTCCTCATTGCAATCGCCTTTCTATGAAACAGTTTGTCTCTTCAACAAAATAAAGTAGAAAGAAATACTAGGAAAATAATTTCGCATAAGATACTGAATCCACCTTCAGCTCACATGCTTGCAATGTATCGTTGGTGATTCTATTCACTGAATGAATAAAGGAATCAATCTATAACTGGTTACTCTGCAGCTTTGGTTCAACTACTGTGTTCTACGAGGCAACCCACACCCATCTCCTTGTAGCAGGGTCCCTACTGATACATAAATCCAAGACTTCCTCAAAATACAAAATAAAATAAAAATTATATGACCACAAAAATTTGAGAGAAACAATGTCTGCGTACTTTCCTCCTCAATTGTAGATAATACACTGCAATGAGTTCAATGCTTGAACAAAAGAATGATGGAAATCAAGAATACAAAGCTGAATTCCTCCTTCAGCTCCTCAATGTACCTGTTTCAAATGTGTATCTTTAGCTTGTTTTTGCTCTCTTCCATACTATAACAACACCATAAATATCTGATGAAGCCAACAAGTTCTCCCCATAGTTCCAGGCAACTCCTACTACTGGAAAACGATGACCCTGTAGCCATGAATTAAGTTGGTATGTCAGCAGCAGAATGGTGAATATTGTCAAAGTAAGAAATCTAGAATGCTAAATGCAAGTGTGGGACCTGAAGCTTATTGACACATGCATGTCTTTGGTTGTGTTAAGTCATAGAAGTAGACATTTGAATCCTCACTCCTAGCAACTTCAGGTTAAAACAGATCAGAATATCAGCAGTAGTAAAACAAATATTAATTCATTATTAACTATTTCTGGGAAAATGGTTTTCAAGCATTAAGTTCCTAGTGTTGCAATATATATTCCAACACCTAGTCTAACACAAAAGTGTAATGGACATGGAACACAACTCACAACACACCTATATATTCTCCCTTTTGAAGGGAAAGCAGAGGGCAGAAGGCTGCTCGAATGCTGTGTATTCTCAGAGATAATTTGAGTGAGCAACGGAGAGTCAGATAACCTTGTACTTCCAAGGCAACACTGGAAAATGAACATACAAAGTTACCATCTCTTGGTGATTCGAAATAAAGATGAACAGCACAAGACATGTTTTCCTGAATAAACCTGAAGATGGACAAATTTCCATGTTGAGTACATGTCAGCAACACGGGCCCTCCTGCTAGCAAAGAGAAACTACGGTACTGCACAGTTGTGACTGGAGATTTGCTTGTGCTGCTAGTTTTGTGACGATGAGACTGAGATAATGCTCCAGTGTAGGAGTCCATGCTCACTGAGTATATACATCCCTGCAAATATTTACACCATTAAACTCTGTCCAACAAGGAACACCAAGTACTTCAGCTAGTCAGATTATGGATATATATGTAAGAGAGACCTGTGCATCTCCACAGAAAATGAGATGACCAGTGTGATCATGGTCCATGGACGTAACCTCACTGTCAAAGACCGCTTTAGTAATAGTCCTCCCAGTGCTGAAATTGAACACCTAGTATATGAAGAAAAGTGCAGTCAATCAACTGACGGTTGGATTAGTGAAGGGCAGAACCTATCTGAAAAATACCAAAAGCAAATTTCTTTTATATTTTCTTTAAGAAGCAGCAAGCAGGGATGTGGACCAGTTACTTTGATTTCTTTGCTTCCATTGCCAACTGAAAGGAAGCTGTTATTTACCTGCATCAGCATCAGAAAAGAAAATATAAGACAACCCTTTCAGTTGATTGAATATAAAGTCAAGAACATAAGTGTGCAGAACATTTTGAGTCAAGTTAAGCATGAGAGAATAAAGTACACAAATCTAATGACAAACAAATTAAAAGAAGTAAAACATAGAAACGTTTTAATTGTTTTAGGTTCATAAAACTTATCAACATGAGTTTGCGCTAACAGGGTGAAAACGAATACACAGTTGTGAAGAGACTCCATATATCACATGAATGCAAATGCCTTTGGATAATTCCCATACTCGCACAGTTTTATCCATGGATGATGATGCAATATACTGATTGTTTACTGAGAAGTCAAAGCCTGACAACATATTAAAATGCCTGTTAGAAAAACCAGAAACAAAACTTAATGTATTATAGTTAAAGACAGAAGTTTCAATTTAATGATACACGGTGAATCATCATCCATGTTACACAAACATTAAGATGTGTGCAGTGTGCATTTAGATTAATTTTGCAGAAAGAGATTGGCAGAACAAACCATATGAACAAGATGTGAATTGGCATCTGAAGGGCAATAGTGATTCACTTTAATGCGTTAGAACCAGGTTTCAACATCCCACACAGATTGGTCTATGACCCCAAAAGAAACCTCTTAACATAAAGAATATGGAAGCAAAGGAAGATTTTTCTCACATCTATATTAAGGCAACACAGCTGTTTATTTTGTTCTCCAAGTGTAAAACCTCTCTTTTTCCTGCATTTGTTTAACACAGGACAGCTCCAAAAGGATTCTCAGTAAAGTTTATTAAAGAAGGCATCCTTTAAGCAGATTTCATCATCATATGCTCCATAGTTAATCTTGATGAATCTTCGTTTAGCTCTAAGGAAATATATGATATATCTATTATTTCTTTTAAATTAGAAGTAATTCATTTAATCTATAGAATTATGCCCCTGCCAATGCAGCTTCAATATTTAATGACAGTAGACAATATCTAGGACACCAAATCCAAGTCCAAAAATTTAAAATGCCCATCATTCAGTTCAAAAGAAGAGGGATCAAAATGAGGAATCATGATAAAAATTAAAGATACACATGACATAATATATGACCTTAATCATAAAACTGAAGAAATTATTAGCCACATACTGCCATCAAAGATATAAGACAAGACTACAGAAACAATACCAGTTAATCCAACCTGTGACACCTTTTGAATGCCCACTTAGTTGCTTGACAACAGAAGGTGGCACAGAGACAGTGCAGACTGTCAAGGTTCCATCTGATGAGCCATATGCCAGTAGATCAGAACTCATGTGCCCAAACTTCAAAACTGTAACTGCATGCAAAACAAATAATTTCACTACATTTCCATAAAGAGAAAAACGACTTCACAACATTTTGAATATTTTGTGTAAATAGTATTCTTTTAATTGCTTGAAGTTCATCACTGTAAACTGTATGGTAGAAGCCTGTTGCATACTTAGTGCGTCTTTGTGTGAATGTTTTCTTAGGTAAAATTTACATTTTACCAAAAAAAAAAAAAACACAACATTTTGAAAGATCAAATCAATAATTGAAAAGAAAAAAGAAATATTGATTGCACCAGAATTTGAAGAGATAAAGAAAAAGAATGATACCTGCTGATTTGCAGTGATCAAATATGCAATACATTCCTACAAAAGAATATGCAGGTTCAGTACCTCGTCGATGAGAACTGTCACTTGCAATGGAGCTTAAACTTGTTCTAGGATTTGAAGTTGGGTTTCCATTGTGAATGTCCTGTAAGGAATGACAAACATACAACTTGCTCCATTATTTTAGAGCCCTGATGTGATTGTGCCGTGGTTCAAGTCATGTGAACAAAATAAAATAGTTGGAGAACTTTCAAGAGTTTTGCATGCAAATAATTGCATTTTTCTGGTCCCCTTCACGATTTTTAGAAAGCATGAATTCAGATAGAAGCTCTCAAATTAAGCTCATTAAAAAAAAAAAAAAAGAGTACCAAATAAGTACATCAAGCAGGTGTATTCAATGCATGCAATAACTTTAACACACGTCGATGCATTTTACAAGAAATATAATGCAAAGGGTAACATTAGCAATGATTAATTAAACTGTGATACAATTGATGTATATAATATTTACCATAAGTAAAATTGACCAGATATAAAATTGAATCAATAGCAGAATCAGGGCTAAAAAATATACTTGAGTAAGAACAATTCATTCTTTGACATTGCACCAAACCTTAGATACCAAAAACGAAAAGGTAAAATGAAACATTTTAGATTAATAGGACGACTATAACAGTTCAATTCATCAAATTACAGTAATTTGATAGATTAAATGCATGAAAATGTGTCATCCATATGGAAGGGATGCAGCCAGCGACAACGCAGGTTCCCTTCCTCACACAAGTCACCACTTCAGTTCAAAATAATATCTCTATATTGTTATGTGATTAATCTAAGATCATCGTCACTGAATTATGACAGCAATATGTTCTACAACCAATGGCATACAAAATCCTAAGATGAGTAGAGACAGAAATACACACAAGAGTTGCACATACCCTGCTAGAAGTCCAGTTGTCCACCTCAAATATATACGAGAATGGATTTGGAGATGAAAGCCATCGCCCACTGTTGCATCAACCAGTAAATTACCCTGATGTCAGAATTGTATGGAATCATAAATTTAAAGCAGCTGAACATTTAAAGTTCTTCGCAGTCACTGAAACAAAAATGATAATAATGTTAAATTACGAGTGCACCAGGTAAAAGCACAAGGATTCCAAAGAACAAAAAATCTATTACCAAGACTCTTTAACTCATCCAAAGATGCATATATATACTAGAGGGGGAACTGTCTTTGTTCTAAAATTTGTAGATCCCACAAGCTCAAAGCCAAAGAAAAAAGAGAAAAAAAAAAGAGCATCCTGGTTTTCTCTCACTCCATCACATCAAAATAAGTTTCATATATTTATCTTTTCTTCTAAGATTCTATTACACTTCAATTATACTAACAAGACTTCAATTTCGGTTGGTCTTACTCTTTCTTTTTTTTTTATTTGCGATGTTCGGTTGGTCTTTCTTAACCATCAATTTTTTATGTTTTAGTGTATGGTTTAGCTACATATTAAAAATATATTTATTATATATATTTTTTAAAAAAATTATTTTATAAGGCAGATCGCATATAGTTCACCTTGTAAAATTAATTAAATATTTTTTTAAAAATAATATAAAAACAAATTTAAAGGCATTTAAGTAATTTTATAAGATGAACTACATACAATCCATCTTGTAAAATAATTTTCTCATATATTTTTTAGTTTAACAGTTAGGGTGTTCCTTGCTATTTGTTGCGAACTTCCAGGAGAATAATTGGCAAAATTAACAGAATAATGGGGGGCATTGTTTACACTATTTTTTTGGTTTAGCATTTAGGGTGTTTATAAGTTAATTTGTATACACTTTAAAATTAATTCTTCCCTATATTAATCAAAAGTAAGCTGTCCACATTCACCAAAATTAAGGAAACATTCACTTATACTGAAGAATTTACAAGTAATTATCTTTTCATTAGTTTTTTTAAGGAATCAAACCTTAGTTAATAAGTTCAGTTTTTTAATAAATAAGTTATATTAAGTCAAGTTATAAGTCATTCTCAGATTCCCTGAAAAATGGAAAATGCAAGCACCTTTTTTATTGTTTTCAATCTCAAATTTGAACATCTTTGAAGTGCTCGAAAAAATTTCAAAATAATTGAAAATAAAAATTTTTATTATAAAATAATTAATTAAAATAAATAAATAAATAAAATCTGGAAAGGAAAAAGGGAAAATTTATTCCGTTGCCGGGACTTGAACCCGGGTCTCTCGGGTGAGAGCCGAGTATCCTAACCAACTAGACTACAACGGATT